TTGGATTATCGCTTACTACTGACCTTTACATGGAAACCATATATACAATCAATTGCTAAATTAGCTTCTGCTAACGTTGCTTCTCTTTATCGTGCTCGCCATTTCCTTACTTCTGATTCCATTCTCTACCTCTACAAATCTCTTATTCGTCCCTGTATGGAATACTATTGTCATATTTGGGCTGGTTCTTCTAACGATACATTTTCTCTTCTTGACAAGGTCCAAAAACGCATTGTAAATGTTGTTGGACCTGGACTATCTGCTAAGCTTGAACCTCTTTCCCATCGTCGTAAAGTTGCATCTCTTTCTCTCTTCTACAAATATTATCATGGTCACTGCTCAAAGGAGTTATCATCTCTAGTTCCATCAACTAAAATTCATTCTCGTTTTACTCGTCATTCAGCTAAGTCTCATTCGTTTACTGTATCTGTCCCTGCATGCTCCAAAAACTTTTATTCATCAAGTTTCTTTCCCCGCACTTCAATCCTTTGGAACTCTCTCCCATCTTCATGTTTTCCTGACTCATACAACCTTCAATATATATATATATATATATATATATATATATATATATATATATATACACACACACACACACACACACACACACACACACACACACACACACACACATATATATGTGTGTGTGTGTGTGTGTGTGTGTGTGTGTGTGTGTGTGTGTGTGTGTGTGTGTGTGTGTGTGTGTGTGTGTGTGTGTATATATATATATATATATATATATATATATATATATATATATATATATATATGTATACATGTGTGTGTATGTATGTATATATATTATATATATATATATATATTGTATTTAGTTGTATATTTAATGTAGTTTAATCAGAAGATATATGAGATTCAACATCAGATTATGACTACTGAAAGTGACCTACGTAACTCTGAAAAGAAACGAGTTATTAATTTTTTTATTTTTTTATTTTTTTTTCATGTTACTTCTTTTGTACTTCTTTTTATTAGTTTTGTTTAATGAGTTGACAGATAAAAAGTTTAACTTTTGTTTAGTTGAATGAACTGACAGCAAAACACAAGGATGAAGTGTTGCAGATAAGTTTAACTTACAAAAAGGTTTTTAAATATTGTTTTGTTGAAGTTGTTCAATCTGTTTAAATTATAGTATTTTGTCATAAAATTTATAAAAAAGTAAAAGAAAATAAAAATTTACAATTAAGTTGCATAACAAGAGTTAATATTTGCAAATATTTTGATATTTATAAATAAATAATAAGTGCTTAAAAGTTATATTTCAATTCTTTCCACTTTTCGAAAACTTTTGATATTGAAGTTTAATGTTGTTGATGTTGTTGTTGAGTTTAATGTTGATTATAAATTGCGTTAAAAAAATTTAATTTAAAAAAAAAGCATCCTGAGATACAGTTAGTAAACATCTTGAGGTGTTAGGTAGCTATTATTTTATATTACATAGCTACACAGGGTGTTAGCTAAAAAATACAATACAATCTTTAGTTGTTTTTTACCTAGTTATTTTCTAACCACATGAGAATAAAAATCAGCTGACAAAAAAAAAATTAAAACAAGAATTTTCTCAACTTTTTTCAATAGATCTTTAGCTTTAATCTTTGTATGTACTAAAACCTCCAATGTATGTACTAAAACCTTTATTGCATGATTAAGTGATACCCTTCTGGTTCGATTATTGAGTCTAAAGACTGTCCATATATATATATATATATATATATATATATATATATATATATATATATATATATATATATATATATATATATATATATATATATATATATATATATATATATATATATATATATATATATACATATATACATATATACATATACATTTATACATATATATACATATATATATATATATATATATATATATATATATATATATATATATATATATATATATATATATATATATATATATATATATATATATATATATATATATATACAGTAGCATGTAAAGATTTAAAAACACCAACCATTTTTCAGTTTTTAATTCACAATTTTTTACAAACTTTTTCAAATAAGCTGAAATTTTTACCAAATTTTATATATGTATATATAGTATATGTTACTGTTACCCACAGTACCAGGACATTAGCTAAATGCTAATGTTTATAATATAATATAGTATTGCAACTCTGAGTTTCATGTGCTACCACTATCTTCAGGCAAGTAGTAAAAATTTAATTTTGCAACAAATTTATTCATATATATACACTTATATATATGAATAAATATATATATATATATATATATATATATATATATATATATATATATATATATATATATATATATATATATATATATATATATATATATATATAACTAGTTCTAACTAAAAATGATAATGACTTTGAAGAAAAAGTTAACATACTTTATATTAATTATGATTGCAATCTTACAGTTTGTAGTATTTTCAATTCTCTACAAAACTTGTTTTATTTTAAATTAAAATAGTTTAAAGTTACAGAGAAAAATGAAAGAAAAAGAATGAGCTCGTCGAAAACATTTGTATAGCTTTTATTTGAAAAAAATATATAAAGAGAAAAAGTTTACTGTTGATCACTTTCTTGCTTAAAAAATTCCTAATAGCACCATCTATACCATTTATATATATATATATATATATATATATATATATATATATATATATATATATATATATATATATATATATATATATATATATATATATATATATATATGTAGACCACACAGGTAAAACCACAGATAACACAATTTTCTCCTTTTGAGAAAAATTAAATATAGTTTTCAGTGACATTAGATATCTATTTATTAATAATTTATTTAATTAAAAGTATATTTTTCTGACATTTTAGTCCTTATACAACATAAAAACGCAGTTTTTGTGCTAAATACAAGTATTATTTATTCAGTGTTCTTTTGAAAACAAGACACTCGTGTTTTGGACATTGTGGTTTTTCCGTTGTAAACTCATCAACTCATAAATTACGTTAGCTTGTAACCTGTTAGAGCACTTAACATTTTTTACGTGGTAAACATTGGACAACAGTAGTTGTTTCAAAGTTGCCCTTTTTTAAATGACCTTAAAATATTTTTTGTTATGAAAATTTAAATTAAAATAGCTTAGTACTAAAATATGATAAAAATATATATAACCTGAAATTTTCAAAAAGTGGACATCTGTGGTTTTACCCGTGTGGTCTTCATATATGTATTATACCGTATAAAGATTTAGATTTGCCAATATTTTTTGATAAATTATTTTAATGCAATTTTCTTGAAAAAAGAAGAAAAGAACAGAATTATTTAAAAAATGGTTGCTGCCCTAACCTATAATACATATATATAGAGAGAGACATACTCACCCACAATACAAAGAGAGACATGCACACATACACACATTGAATGTAACAACATTTCAAAAGTCAATTTTCTTAATTAAAAAAGTAATTTTTAATTCAGGAGATACAGCTAGCAAAGGATACTATTTTAAAAATTCAATCACAGTATGAAGAGAGGTGAAGTTATTTCGTAAATTTCTTAGAATTTATAAACATTTTCTTATATTTTGTATAAATGTCAATATTGTACTTAATGTAGGCTGCAAGATTTAGAAAAGATGGTAGTAGATTTAAATATTCAGAACAAGTTTTATAAATCCAAAATGTATGATAAGCTTTTTTTTTTGTTTTTAATTTTGTTTTAATTTTTGCTTTAAATAAATTTTTATTTAATATATCAATCAGAGGAGAGAGTTGTCTAAATTGGTACACATTAATTTATTTTTAAAAACATTTTATACTTTTTATTGTAAATAACTGGTGATAAGTAATTATCAGGAATGGCTTTGTTTTGAAATTGTTAGGTCATTTCTTGCACATGGGCAATTATGTTTTTATTAATAAACTAGATTTAACACACTACAAAACCCATATTTATCTTTCTAAATTATTTTAAAAGTTTCAATTATAAACCATTTCTGAAAAAGAGCTCTTACAAAAATGTTTGTACAAGTTTTATGAAAATAATATAAATGAAGGAAAGAAGTACACATTTGATCATTTGGCAGCTGAAACAGCAAGCAAATCAACCATTTACAGTATAATCAATCGTTGTGAAGTTAGAAATGACGCAAACCAACAACCAGGAGCAGGTAAACCGACTTTTATTTTTGATAAACAAGGTTAATCAACTGAGACAATCAGCAAACAATAAAATGAGGACTTCTGGTCTCAATTGAAAGGGAAAGTGTAAAACACACAACAAAAAGTGCTGTGCTTCAGAAACTAATCAACTCAGAAAGAGAATATAAAAATATTTAACTGAATTTGATATGAAATGCGTACAAGAGCTTGTTAAAGGGGTGGAGTCTCAATTAGATTGTGTACGTTGATAAGAAATTATAGAAGATGATTGAGTAAAAAAATAAAACAAAAGTTAAATATTGGGTGGACACGGAAAAATCCGGTCAACTTTAAATTGAGATTTCTCTAAAACCATAAATGCTTTTTATTTCAATTTTTTTATTATCAAATGTGTTTACATAAATTAGAGTTTCAACTTAATATTAAGGGGCTTGATGGGTTGCTTGGCAAGAAATCGAACTTTATAGCGGGTTGATGCCATCATTTTACAGATTTTTTCTTTTTTCACCATATTGGTGGCATTATTCCACTTTTTTTGGAATTCCTTTTTATTATTTGTTAGTCCACCTGTCTTATGAAGAACTCCTTTAACTATTGCCCAAAAATTTTAAATCTTGCGCTCTTCAGGACGATTTGGAGGATTCGCATCCTTAGAAACAATTTTCACATTATTATCTTTGCACCACTGCAAAACATTTTTAGAATAGTGAGAGGCAGCAAGATAGGCCAAAAGAGAGTATTTGTGTTTTTTTATAAAAGGCAAAATTCTTTTTTGGAGGCATTCTTTGATGTAGAGATTGGCAGTCAAGGTCTTTTTAGTGACAAAACAAGAGGACTGCATACCACAGATACAAATTGCTTGCCACACAAGGAACTTGGATGCAAATTTTTCTCGTTGAATATATTTAAATTGATCATCGACAGGTTTATCTTTGTTTTCATAGTAAAACTGTTGACCAGGAAGTTGTGAAAAATCTGCCTTGCAATACGTTTCGTCGTCTTCAATTATGCGCATATTTTTATCCGCCATTATTTTAACCATTATTTTAACCATTATTTTGCGCGTCAAATTCCTTTAATTTCACAATTTAAGCTTCTCTTAGGTGTATTTTTTTTTATGAAATGCTTTAATTCCAGCATTTTTAAGTACTTTTTTGATATAAGAACGAGAAGTCTTAAATTTTCTTGCTAGATCTCGCTGTGACTGATTTGGATTTCTTGCTATTGAACGTAAAATCGACTTTTCCTTTTTGGATTTATGGAAAGTTTTTTTTCCTTAACTTCCAAGTTTTCTTTCGAAGCTTTGAGTAGTCTTGAACTTGTTTATAATATCTATGACTGTAGATTTTGGGACATTTGTGCGTTTAGCAATCAAGCGATAGGAAATCGATGGATTTTTGCAAAAAAATTAACAACTTTTTTACGCACTTTAACTTGTTTCCAAAACATTTTGCAAATCATTAATTTGTAAACAAAAGTTTATCAACACCATTTAAGATAAGGAAGTAAGGTTTAATTAAAACAAAAAATTCAATAAAAAGCATTTGTGGTTTTGGAGAAATCTCAATTTAAAGATGACCGGATTTTTCCGTGTCCACCCAATATGCTTTAAAACTTGGTTTTTGTTTTTTTTTAACATCTTTGCTTCCAACAAGGCAAACAACCACTATAAGAGTTGGTTGTTACTGGAAGAGAAAAGATGAAGATTGTAGAGCAAGATAATGATTGACAGATGATTTAAAAGGTTGTAAATTATATGAATCAAGAAAGCAAGATGATGGAAGCAAATTCCAAAGAACTGATGTTTGAGGAAAAAAACTAGACAAATAAGAGTTTTTGGAGCACTTTGGAACAGTCACAGAAAAAGGATAAAACTTAATTGAATGACGAATAATACCAGAATGAATTTTAGTTGATGGCACAAGAGAAGCTCATTCTTTAGAGTAGAGCTCATTATAGTATTTGTAGAAAAGAGAAAGGGAAGCAACATGACGGTGTGGTAATGGTTGAAGGTTGGCTGCAAGAGCAGGTCCAACTATGTTTACAATGTGTTTTTGCACCTTGTCTAAAATTGAAAGGCCATCATAAGAAGATCCGCCCCAGATATGGCAACAGTATTCCATACAAGGATGGATTTGAGATTTATAAAGATAAAGAATAGAATCCGGAGTAAGAAAGTGTCGAGCTCAATAAAATAATGCAACCTTAACAGATGCTAATTTTGCAATTGATTTGATATACGGTTTCCAAGAAAGATCAGAAGTAAGAGTTAATCTTTGAAGATGAAGGGTAGATGACTCATTTAGTACATCACCATTCATAAATAAAGGAAGACCTAAATTATTGTGATAATATTTGGCTGAAAAAAATTTAGTTTTATCTAAATTAAAGTTCACCAGCCACTGTGAGCCCCATGTTGCAGTAGAAGTGAGATTCTTTTCAGGCTCAGATGCCCCCTCCAAGCAATCAGAGAGTGTTGGCTTCTTACCATGACAAGAATAAGTGGTAGTGTCATCAGCGAACAATGTCACCTTAGATGTGAGAATATTTAATGTAAATTAAAAAGAGTATAGGGCCAAGGATTGAACCTTGAATAACCCCTGAAGTTACAGGGTATGAAGAAGAGTGCTGTCCATCGAGGACAACTTTTATACTACGATTGGAAAGGAAAGACTCAATAATCTTAAAGATGTTACCAGATACACCGTAAGAAGAAAGCTTATGGAAAAAGACTGACATGCTAAACTTTATCAAAAGTTTTAGAAATGTTTAACGGCTATATCAGGTAGAGCGCAAATAGTGGAGTCAAGAAATGATATTGATGAAAAGTTCTTAACAAACAATTCAAAAAAATAAGATGACAAAGTCTGAACCATACAAGAGAGGTGGAATAACAGATTTGTCCTTATTATGGATACTATTAAAAATACAAGATTTCATGACCTGAGAATAGCGGGCTTTAGCATTAGACAAAACCTTTTAACAGTGGTTTCTAGCAGTAATAAATAGTAATGGTTTCAATTGGAAATTGCAGCAGCACAATGTGAGGAAAACCATGGAGAAGAGTAAGGCTTGACCTAGAATTGTCAAGAGGGAATAAAAGGTTTCATGCAAGTCTGAATCCACGAAGTTATGTAAGAAGCACATTTATCAGCAGGAAAGATTTCTACCCAATGGCCATCTCAAAGAAAATCACGGAAAGAGTCCCAGTCAGCTTTAAGGTAGATGTAAGATGTACAATGATAGGAGGATTCTGATGATAAAGAAGAATCAGATAATAGTTTTAGAGAGATCAAACCGTGATCAGAAGCACTTAAGGGTGAATGTGGAGAAACTGAGCACTGATTAGGACCAGAAACAAGACATAAGTCGAGTAGAGAAGGTAAATGATTTAGGTTGTCTGGAAAGCAAGCTGGAAAGTTGATTGTTTGAGTTAGGGATTGAAAAAAGAAGAAGCCAAAAGTTGTGGGCCTTAACACCTGCAGAGTCACTGACACTAGAGCCACATCATTCAGTGTGATGAGCATTAAAGTCAACAACAACCACAATATTTTTTTTTTTTTTTTTTTTTTTTAATTTTACTTCACCTCCTCAAGGCCGAGAAGGCCACTACAAAACGAGGAGGCTACTTATTTTGTGGCTATAACCCTCTCTCAACTCTATAACTCCGAAACACGAACCTTGACGAACAAGGCCGCTGCGTGGAGAAACGTGTTGAGCGTGGTACTACCAGGGACGTGGTGGGGATCGAACTTGGAACCACTCGTTTATTAAGCGAGCGCTCTACCACTACACCACTACCGCATTGCTACCATATTAGCTGATGAATAAAAAAGAGGGCTTGGTCAATTTGATCAGAAACATCAAGAAGAGTGCAGTCTTGAGATGAAGGAGAGCAATATAGAACAAAGAGAAAAGCAATAAAGTGAAGTGGTGCTAAACGAAAGCACATAAAAGAATAGGCTGTGGATTTGTCGGTAAACAAACCTAGTTTACCGACAAATGGGTGAATTCTTTCAAATGTAAATGCCCAGGCCAAGCATGTGACTATTGGAGTCTTTACAAATTAAAGGAAGATAACCATCAACACTAAGATCACAAGATGAGACAGCTGAACTCAAATTAGTCTCACAAAGAGCAAGTAGGTCTGGTAGACTTTGCAAGAGATAAGACTCAACAGAAGAAAAGTTACTTGAAAGACCACAAATACTAGTGAATAATAGGTTTATAGAACTTGGTGATGTTGATGATTTTTTTGTGTTTTATAGTTTTTTGTACTTTAGTCATTTTAAATTTTTTAAAGAACTTGACTCAAGCATAGATAGTATTCAGTACACTATTTAATAGCCCAAGCAACTGCCTCATTACTATTAATGAACCCTAAGCCGTAACAAAGGGCTCTAAATGTGGCTCTAAATACATATATATATATATATATATATATATATATATATATATATATATATATATATATATATATATATATATATATATATATTTATATACATAAGTATATACATAAGTATATATATATATATATATATATATATATATATATATATATATATATATATATATATATATATATATATATATTTATATACATAAGTATATACATAAGTATATATATATATATATATATATATATATATATATATATATATATATATATATATATATATATATATTAACTAAGGGTTTAAGTTGGGGAGAGATTTTTTTTTTCAAACTAAATTATTGTTGATTAAAAAGTAAAAAAACCTTTTCTTTTTTTTTTTTCTTTTTTTTTAATTTACAATTTCTTTTTTTTTTCTTTTTACTTCAAAAAGTAAAGATTTGATTTCGTGTTTGAATGCGGTGAAGAGACATACAACGTCAATCATTCTTGCTGAGGATGAACAGGTGATAATATATTTCATTAGTAATGTTTGATTTTATTAAATGCAAATTTTTATTGGGTTTTTTTTCACTTTATATATTATAGCTATATATTATTTATTTATTATAGCTATATATATATATATTTATGTATTATAGCTTAATATTTATATATTATAGCTTATGGCTGATAATGGAGCTCAAGAATATACTGATCAGCTTTCTTCCACATTGCGTAGTGATTCTCAACTCCACTTACCTCTTAAAGCAAGTAACAATGAGTATTTAAATTTTAGAGAGAATGAAAGCCAAAATGAGCTTAGATCACAGGTTACTAAATACTTTGAAAATAAAGATAATAATGAAAACTCAAGCAGCATGCAGTGCCAAAAAAGTCCTGTTTCAAGCCTCCAAAGATCATCAGATCTTACAAACAGAAGATCTCCACAGTATTTCAATAGTAAATTTTTTTCATTGCATGCTGAAAATGGTAGACCTAATACAGAAACTTTTACATCACATATAGAAAAAGCAGATTGCATACAAAAACAAGCAGATATCGTAAGTTATAATGAGCTTGCTAAACATAATTTGGGGAATCACAATTTAACTGTTAAAGAAATAGTTGACCAACGAAGTTTACATGATGCAATGTTAGATACTCGTCCATCGCGTGATATTTTGATTCAGACACAGCATTGTAATGAAGAGGATGCTTTGAATGGTGCTAGCCAAGAAAATCTTAAACTGGTAACAGGTTTACAGAATAGTTCACAGCCTTTAAAAACTAAAGAAGAAAGAGAAAGAGAGGAGCAGCTTAATCATTTTATTCAAAAGGTTTTGTTTTAATCTTTATTGTATTGGTAAATAATTGAGTTATGAGTATTATTTAATTACAGCATGTCTGTCCATAGCTTTTACAGAGTTCACCAAGTCACATATCTGGAAGAATTGAACAAGAAAGTAAATTTTTTTCTTTTTTTTAAAGACTGCTTATGTTGTATGTTATTGTTTAAAAACTCTAATAAGAAAAAAAATTTTGCTCTATTTATCTGATAAATATTGATAATATCCATATATTAGTTAAATTATATTTTCTATATATTTATATATATATATATATATATATATATATATATATATATATATATATATATATATATATATATATATATATATATATATATATATATATATATATATATACATATATATATATATATATATATATATATATATATATTAATATATATATTAATATATATTAATATGTATTAATATATATATATATATATATATATATATATATATATATATATATATATATATATATATATATATATATATATATATATATATATATATATATATATATATATATATATATATATATATATATATATATATATATAGAATTACAATATTTCAGGCCCGATTGCTGGAATTTTTTTTTTTGGAACTTTTGGAACTTTCTTTTTTAAGACATGTGACACAGACTGTAAATTAAATCAAATAATCATTGTTTGACAGGTCAATGAAGAGGTATAGGTAAACCTAGGTAAAAAATGCAAAATTTGTAACAAAGACAATGTAATTTTATTCACAGAAGTTAATTATGTAAAGATTTTATGAAGTTTAAGAACATTTTGGTGCAAAAAGAATTGCTATCCAGATTTGGGCAACAAAATAGCTTTTTTTCATTAAAAATGTAACTTGCTTTTAAGAATAATCTCATTTTTTATGTTTCTCAAATTTTAAATAATTAAAAAGTATAGGATGCCTAATACAGTTAATATATCAATTTTAACCTAAATGGAAAAATAAAAAACAAAGAAATAATTTTAAACATAAGTATTATGCAGGTTAAAACTTTCAATAAATAAAATTATAAGAAAAAAATAAATACAACATCTTCAATTTAAATGAAACAAGAATCAATGTAAAGAAATAGGTATATACTATATAATATAGGTTATAAATATACATTTTGTAGCTATGATGCTGAGATGTAGGATTTCACTTTCAGTCTTGAAGGTAAAAAAGTATAATTCTCATTTCGGCTAGAATTTTATTCACAATTCCGGAAAATCTGGTTCCGACTGGAATTCAAAATCTCCAATCCGGTGCACCCCTTTTATAAATATATGATATGCAGAATGAAAAATAATGGCCCTTCAGTTGTCAATGGCTGCCTGAAACGACTAAAATTGCTATTTTGACCTCCCAAAATGAGTTCTTGCTGGTCATGGTTGGTTAGTAGAGGTGTGCTGGAACCCAGTGATATTTTTGTTCGGAAAATAATTTTAGTTTTAGTTTTTATTCAGTTTAGAGGCAAAGTTTTTAGTTCTAGTTCTTATTCAGTTCAGTAAATAAATTTAGTTCTAGTTTTTATTCAGTTCATCTTAAAATAATTTTAGTTTTAGTTTTTATTTAGTTCAGTTTTCGTTTGTCGTATAAATTTTTTATCTCATCTAATTATAATTTAGTATAATTTATAAATAATATAGGCATATATAATTAAAAGAAGTAAGTCTATAAACAAACAAAAAAATGAGAACTTAATTAAATGTAATACACCCAGTCCCATGGCTAGAAGTTTAGAGCCCCGCCCACCGCCCTTAATAAAAAACACAACAACAACCTGTCCTTATTGCTCTAAAACTTAAAAAAATTTCAATTATTAGGTATAAAAAAAACTCCTCAAATTTGGTAACAATAAAAACTAATGAATAGTTATTGTATAGACTTTAATAATTACTCATATATTTTACAAATAAAGGGCCTAGTGATTATATGATTATCATCTAGACTAGATGAGAATTTAGTTTTAAGAAAACTCGCATTTCCAATGACGCTGACATTCGATTTCTTCGTCCATTTGTGAGCAAGCCACAGATTGAAAAAAGTCTTTCAACATATGCTTGAGTTGCAGGAGCTGCAATGAGGTCTTCAGCTAATGGTGCAATATGTGGGTAAACAGCACGTCTCATCTTCCAGAAATTTAAAGCATTTTGGCACATAGAGCTGTTCCTTATTTCAATAAAATATTTGTTGAGTTCATTTTGTGCTTCATTACCTGGAATAAGCTTTATTTTTTCTACTCGCTGTTTTGCCGCTAAAAATTTCCATTTTGTTAATCCATTTATTTCTGGAGCAATCTCAACAGAAAGAGTAGATGCACTTGCTAAAGGTAAATCATGTTGCACCGATTTTTTAGCCTCTGACAAAATGTATTTCTTTGCACACTCTCTGATTTGTGTATGCTCATTACCTAAAAGAGCTATTGCACATGTGGGGTCAAGTAGACATGCGGCACATGGCAGTGGATTAAAATTAGGATCGTTTGGCTGCAAAAGAACGGCAAAACGACGGCGTAGATCTTCAAGCATTTTAACTGCTACATCTTTGGCATCTCCAAATTGCTCAAGGTGACATTCTAAATTAAGTATTGAAGGTATAACACTGGATAGTGAAAGTGCATCCGTCTGAAGAATATCAGTTTCATTGGCAAAAGGTTCTAAAAGATTGACAAAATCCTGAAGCATTATCCATTCGCTATTGGCAAGTGAATCAATGTTAAGGTCTCCAAGCACCTCGTTGATAGATGTCTTTATTTCCAGAAATCTCTGAACCATAAAGTAAGTGCTGTTCCGTCTTGTAGAACAGTCGCTGATCACAGTCTTACCACATTTGTTGATAATTTTTTCCAATGCAACAGAAGATTTGCGAACTTTTCCCACTAATCCACGTACCTTCAAAAGTAAGCCATGATATTTACTATCATATGCAAGTTTTACAACTAGCTGTATAACATGTGCAATGCATCCCAATCTTCTAAATGCTACGTTTTCTATTACATCAACTATCAAGTCAACATGTTCCCACTCTTCACTATTTGTCATATTCTCATCGTCTTCCAGATCTGTTATATGCTCTTCATTAACCTCACTTTCTAATTCAATAAGTATATCACGTTCTGCTTGAGCTTTCATTCTCGACAACTTTATGCCTTTGGCCATGTTTGCTCCATTGTCCGAAATAACAAGTAATATTTTTTCTCTGGAAATATTCCAATATTTTAGGCATTTTTCAAAACAATTAGCAATTTGTTCACCTGTATGTGGATGTTTCACAAGATACAAATTAAGCAGAGCATGTATTGGTTTTTCGGATTTGAAGTGAAAAAAACAAACCGAAATTCCTAAAAAGGACACAGTAAGACCTTTTTTAGTCAGCCATCAAGGCATATTGTGAAGTGCCTGCTTCAAGTAGGCTAGTAATTTTGGCAGAAGCAGGCAATGAAAATTTATAATCCAAGGTATTAACTAACTTTCTAAAACTTGCATTATCCACCAATGTCACTGGATTACATGTTGCAATTATCATTTGAATAAGAGAGTTTAGTCGAATTTTATGCTCGTGTGAATTAATAGGCCATGCGGTATTCCTACGATTAATGCATTGAATCAAGGTCTGGTTCTGATTTGAGGACTATCCTAAAAGAGTGGGTCCATTTTCATCCACTGCTTTTCTCTTTATCCCTGTTTGCTTTTTTTCACTTAATTTCTTTAATTCCGACTCTTCCAGCTCAACGTGTACAGACTTATGGTTTCTTGCTAAATGTAGCTAGAAAAAAATAAACATATTTATATAATTTTTTGTTTGTATATTTATATGTTTATTTATCTATCTGTTTATCAATTAATGTATAAATAAGTTCGTATACGTTATTGAATAATTACTCTAAAATGATAAAAATGAGTCGTTTGTTTCAAAATGAAAACATATCCTCTAACAGATAAACTAACTTTAAGATTTGTTGGGTTCTTTTCACACAACTTTGTATTGCATACTTTTTCACCATCAAGTAAAACTAAACATACTGATTTGTCGGATGACGCATCGTATTTAAACCATTTCCATACTGAACTATTCCTCTTCCTACCAGCAAAAAGTTTACTCAAACTCATCGCGTAGTTGTGTTGGTCTTACAGTTTAATTTTTTTTAGTTCGAAAAAATATATTCGAATAAATATATTCGAACTATATCATAACTAAACTTATTCGAACTTAATTGAATAAAATTCAATTAAGTTCGAATAATATATCATTATAATGTATTGTAATATAATAATTATATATATCAAATAATTCAACTCGTTTCAAATCTAGAACGAAAATATTTTGTTTTAAAATAATTTTCGATTCAGTTTTTATTCCGTTTGAAAATTTAAAATTATCGTTTTTATTCTGTTCTCGTTCTTAAAATAAATTTCGTTTTAGTTTTAGTTTTCGTAAACGAAAGGCTTTTTTTTTCGTTCTCGTTTTCGTTCTCGTGTACGAAAATATCACTGCTGGAACCAGTAAATGCTGGGCCCTTGATTTCGGTTACCTGGTGGTAAAAACTGGGTCCGTAAACAGGTACCTGGTACTGAATCCATTAAAAAAAGTAATGATAAAAAAAATTTAATTAAAAAATTATTTAGACAACACTTTTTTGCTGTATTTCATTTTAACTTCTTTTATGATTTTTTTTTTATGAGAAAATTTTATCAGCGTTCAAAATAATTAAAAAGTAGACAATTAAATAATTTTTCCGACAATAATTAATTAAAAACTTTATTTGAACAGAGTTTAGATTTTTAAAAACGACTAAAAAGTAATTAAAACCCCCTAAAACTATGCAATATTTCTTTGTTTTTAGCAGCCGTGGTGCAGTGGGAGATTGCTCACCTAAGAGACAAGAGGGAGCATGCCCCTCTTGTTCTGATGGGGAACGCCTCTCCCCCTACTTTTTTTTGAATTTTTTTGAGGACCTTTTTTCTTTTTTTTTAAAGAAATTGACAATTTTTATAATAAATTGAGGAATTTTTTTCAAAATGAGGTACTGTGCCCCCAATTTTGAAAACTGTGTCGTTGGGCCTGGAAAAACAATTAATCCTGGAAAAATAATTAATAACAAT